AAGTGAAATATCTGTACATTTCTCTTTTTTTGTTTTTTAAATGCAATTTTTGGGTGAAATTGCATGGCGTAGATCGCCCTCTGCTGGTAGGAGATTGAAAAAGCAAAAGCCTACAACACCTGGTATTCCCAGGCGGTCTCCCATCCAAGTACTAACCAGTCCCGACCCTGCTTAGCTTCCGAGATCAGACGACATTGGGCGTGTTCAGGGTGGTATGGCCGTAGGCAGCAACTAGGCTCCTTTAACCTCCTCTTATTCTGTTCTTCAACAGCCAGGCACCTCCCTCACAGCTTCTTCATTTGCTGCTGTTGCAACTCACTGCTCAAAAGGCTAGTGCTGCTGGTTGCTTTTGTTCACTGCTGGAGTGGAGTATAGAAAGCGTTGCTTATGGCTTGCACTTAAATGTCACTTCTGACTGCCATCCTGGAATGTATGTGTGGATAGATAGAAGTGAAATATCTGTACATATTCTCTTTCGTTTTAAATGCAATTTCTAAGTAGGAAATTGTATAGCGTAGGATCGCCCTCTGCTGGTAGGAGATTGAAAAGCAAAGCCTGGCAACACCTGGTATTCCCAGGCGTCTCCCATCCAAGTACTCAAATTCAGGCCCCATCTGCTTAGCTTCCAGACGTATCTGATTCCATGCAGTTCAGGGTGCAGGCGGGGTCAGAAAGTATAAATTAGGCCCAACTCCCTCTCTTCAACAGCCAAAACCTCCTCACAGCTTCTTCATTTGCTGCAAATCCTCACTGCTCAAAAGCAGCCAGTGCTGCTGGCTGCTTTTTGTTCACTGCTGGAGTGGAGTATAGAAAGCCTTGCTTATGTCTTGCACTTAAATGTCACTTCTGACTGCCATCCTGGAATGTATGTGTGGATAGATGGAAGTGAAATATCTGTACATATCTCTTTTTGTTTTTTAAATGCAATTTTTGGGTGAAATTGCATAGCGTAGATCGCCCTCTGCTGGTAGGAGATTGAAAAAGCAAAAACCTGCAACACCTGGTATTCCCAGGCGGTCTCCCATCCAAGTACTAGCCAGGCCCGACCCTGCTTAGCTTCCGAGATCAGACGAGATCGGGCGTGTTCAGGGTGGTATGGCCGTAGGCAGGAATTAGGCTCCTTTAACCTCCTCTTATTCTGTTCTTCAACAGCCAGGCACCTCCCTCACAGCTTCTTCATTTGCTGCTGTTGCAACTCACTGCTCAAAAGGGCCAGTGCTGCTGGTTGCTTTTGTTCACTGCTGGAGTGGAGTATAGAAAGCCTTGCTTATGTCTTGCACTTAAATGTCACTTCTGACTGCCATCCTGGAATGTAAGTGTGGATAGATGGAAGTGAAATATCTGTACATTTCTCTTTTTTTGTTTTTTAAATGCAATTTTTGGGTGAAATTGCATAGCGTAGATCGCCCTCTGCTGGTAGGAGATTGAAAAGCAAAAGCCTACAACACCTGGTATTCCCAGGCGGTCTCCCATCCAAGTACTAACCAGGCCCGACCCTGCTTAGCTTCCGAGATCAGACGAGATCGGGCGTGTTCAGGGTGGTATGGCCGTAGGCAGGAGTTAGGCTCCTTTAACCTCCTCTTATTCTGTTCTTCAACAGCCAGGACCCTCCCTCACAGCTTCTTCATTTGCTGCTGTTGCAACTCACTGCTCAAAAGGGCTAGTGCTGCTGGTTGCTTTTGTTCACTGCTGGAGTGGAGTATAGAAAGCCTTGCTTATGGCTTGCACTTAAATGTCACTTCTGACTGCCATCCTGGAACGTATGTGTGGATAATTGGAAGTGAAATATCTGTACATTTCTCTTTTTTTGTTTTTTAAATGCAATTTTTGGGTGAAATTGCATAGCGTAGATCGCCCTCTGCTGGTGGGAGATTGAAAAAGCAAAAGCCTACAACACCTGGTATTCCCAGGCGGTCTCCCATCCAAGTACTAACCAGGCCCGACCCTGCTTAGCTTCCGAGATCAGGGGTGTTCAGGGTGGTAGGGCTGTAGGCAGGAATTAGGCTTCTTTAACCTCCTCTTATTCTGTTCTTCAACAGCCAGGCACCTCCCTCACAGCTTCTTCATTTGCTGCTGTTGCAACTCACTGCTCAAAAGGGCTAGTGCTGCTGGTTGCTTTTGTTCACTGCTGTAGTGGAGTATAGAAAGCCTTGCTTATGGTTTGCACTTAAATGTCACTTCTGACTGCCATCCTGGAATGTATGTGTGGATAGATGGAAGTGAAATATCTGTACATTTCTCTTTTTTTGGTTTTTAAATGCAATTTTTGGGTGAAATTGCATAGTGTAGATCGCCCTCTGCTGGTAGGAGATTGAAAAAGCAAAAGCCTACAACACCTGGTATTCCCAGGCGGTCTCCCATCAAAGTACTTACCAGGCCCGACCCTGCTTAGCTTCCGAGATCAGGGGTGTTCAGGGTGGTATGGCCATAGACAGGAACTAGTCTCTTTTAACCTCCTCTTATTCTGTTCTTCAACAGCCAGGCACCACCCTCACAGCTTCTTCATTTGCTGCTGTTGCAACTCACTGCTCAAAAGGGCTAGTGCTGCTGGTTGCTTTTGTTCACTGCTGGAGTGGAGTATAGAAAGCCTTGCTTATGGCTTGCACTTAAATGTAACTTCTGACTGCCATCCTGGAATGTATGTGAGGATAGATGGAAGTGAAATATCTGTACATTTCTCTTTTTTTGTTTTTTAAATGCAATTTTTGGGTGAAATTGCATAGCGTAGATCGCCCTCTGCTGGTAGGAGATTGAAAAAGCAAAAGCTTACAACACTTGGTATTCCCATGGTGTCTCCCATCCAAGTACTAACCAAGCCCAACCTTGCTTAGCTTCCGAGATCAGACGAGATCGGGCGTGTTCAGGGTGGTATGGCCGTAGGCAGGAACTAAGCTCCTTTAACCTCCTCTTATTCTGTTCTTCAACAGCCAGGCACCTCCCTCACAGCTTCTTCATTTGCTGCTGCTGCTGCTGTTGCAACTCACTGCTCAAAGGGCTAGTGCTGCTGGTTGCTTTTGTTCACTGCTGGAGTGGAGTATAGAAAGCCTTGCTTATGGCTTGCACTTAAATGTCACTTCTGACTGCCATCCTGGAATGTATGTGTGGATAATTGGAAGTGAAATATCTGTACATTTCTCTTTTTTTTTTTTTTTTAATGCAATTTTTGGGTGAAATTGCATAGCGTAGATCGCCCTCTGCTGGTAGGAGATTGAAAAAGCAAAAGCCTACAACACCTGGTATTCCCAGGCGGTCTCCCATCCAGGTACTAACCAGGCCCGACCCTGCTTAGCTTCCGAGATCAGGCGTGTTCAGGGTGGTTTGGCCGTAGGCAGGAACTAGGCACGTTTAACCTCCTCTTATTCTGTTCTTCAACAGTCAGGCACCTCCCTCACAGCTTCTTCATTTGCTGCTGTTGCAACTCACTGCTCAAAGGGCTAGTGCTGCTGGTTGCTTTTGTTCCCTGCTGAAGTGGAGAATAGAAAGCCTTGCTTATAGCTTGCACTTAAATGTCACTTCTGACTGCCATCCTGGAATGTATGTGTGGATAGATGGAAGTGAAATATCTGTACATGTCTCTTTTTTTGTTTTTTAAATGCAATTTTTGGGTGAAATTGCATAGTGTAGATCGCCCTCTGCTGGTAGGAGATTGAAAAAGCAAAAGCCTACAACACCTGGTATTCCCAGGCGGTCTAACATCCAAGTACTAACCAGGCCCAACCCTGCTTAGCTTCCAAGATCAGACGAGATCGGGCGTGTTCAGGGTGGTATGGCCGTGGGCAGGAACTAAGCTCCTTTAACCTCCTCTTATTCTGTTCTTCAACAGCCAGGCACCACCCTCACAGCTTCTTCATTTGCTGCTGTTGCAACTCACTGCTCAAAAGGGCTAGTGCTGCTGGTTGCTTTTGTTCACTGCTGGAGTGGAGTATAGAAAGCCTTGCTTATGTCTTGCACTTAAATATCACTTCTGACTGCCATCCTGGAATGTATGTGTGGATAGATGGAAGTAAAATATCTGTACATATCTCTTTTTTTGTTTTTTAAATGCAATTTTTGGGTGAAATTGCATAGCGTAGATCGCCCTCTGCTGGTAGGAGATTGAAAAATCAAAAGCCTACAACACCTGGTATTCCCAGGCGGTCTCCCATCCAAGTACTAACCAGTCCCGACCCTGCTTAGCTTCCGAGATCAGACGAGATCGGGCGTGTTCAGGGTGGTATGGCCGTAGGCAGGAATTAGGCTCCTTTAACCTCCTCCTATTCTGTTCTTCAACAGCCAGGCACCTCCCTCACAGCTTCTTCATTTGCTGCTGTTGCAACTCACTGCTCAAAAGGGCTAGTGCTGCTGGTTGCTTTTGTTCACTGCTGGAGTGGAGTATAGAAAGCCTTGCTTATGGCTTGTACTTAAATGTCACTTCTGACTGCCATCCTGGAATGTATGTGTGGATAGATGGAAGTGAAATATCTGTACATTTCTCTTTTTTTGTTTTTTAAATGCAATTTTTGGGTGAAATTGCATAGCGTAGATCACCCTCTGCTGGTAGGAGATTGAAAAAGCAAAAGCCTACAACACCTGGTATTCCCAGGCGGTCTCCCATCCAAGTACTTACCAGGCCCGACCTTGCTTAGTTTCCAAGATCAGACGAGATCAGGGGTGTTCAGGGTGGTATGGCCATAGACAGGAACTAGGCTCCTTTAACCTCCTCTTATTCTGTTCTTCAACAGCCAGGCACCTCCCTCACAGCTTCTTCATTTGCTGCTGTTGCAACTCACTGCTCAAAGGGCTAGTGCTGCTGGTTGCTTTTGTTCACTGCTGGAGTGGAGTATAGAAAGCCTTGCTTATGGCTTGCACTTAAATGTAACTTCTGACTGCCATCCTGGAATGTATGTGAGGATAGATGGAAGTGAAATATCTGTACATTTCTCTTTTTTTGTTTTTTAAATGCAATTTTTGGGTGAAATTGCATAGCGTAGATCGCCCTCTGCTGGTAGGAGATTGAAAAAGCAAAAGCCTACAACACCTGGTATTCCCATGGGGTCTCCCATCCAAGTACTAACCAGGCCCAACCCTGCTTAGCTTCCGAGATCAGACGAGATCGGGCGTGTTCAGGGTGGTACGGCCATAGGCAGGAACTATGCTCCTTCAACCTCCTCTTATTCTGTTCTTCAACAGCCAGGCACCTCCCTCACAGCTTCTTCATTTGCTGCTGCTGCTGTTGCAACTCACTGCTCAAAGGGCTAGTGCTGCTGGTTGCTTTTGTTCACTGCTGGAGTGGAGTATAGAAAGCCTTGCTTATGGCTTGCACTTAAGTGTCACTTCTGACTGCCATCCTGGAATGTATGTGTGGATAAATGGAAGTGAAATATCTGTACATTTCTCTTTTTTTGTTTTTTAAATGCAATTTTTGGGTGAAATTGCATAGCGTAGATCGCCCTCTGCTGGTAGGAGATTGAAAAAGCAAAAGCCTACAACACCTGGTATTCCCAGGCGGTCTCCCATCCAAGTACTAACCAGGCCCGACCCTGCTTAGCTTCCGAGATCAGGCGTGTTCAGGGTGGTATGGCCGTAGGCAGAATTAGGCTCCTTTAACCTCCTCTTATTCTGTTCTTCAACAGTCAGGCACCTCCCTCACAGCTTCTTCATTTGCTGCTGTTGCAACTCACTGCTCAAAAGGGCTAGTGCTGCTGGTTGCTTTTGTTCACTGCTGGAGTGGAGTATAGAAAGCCTTGCTTATGGCTTGCACTTAAATGTCACTTCTGACTGCCATCCTGGAATGTATATGTGGATAGATGGAAGTGAAATATCTGTACATTTCTCTTTTTTTGTTTTTTAAATGCAATTTTTGGGTGAAATTTCATAGCGTAGATCGCCCTCTGCTGGTAGGAGATTGAAAAAGCAAAAGCCTACAACACCTGGTATTCCCAGGCGGTCTCCCATCCAAGTACTAACAAGGCCCAACCCTGCTTAGCTTCCGAGATCAGACGTGTTCAGGGTGGTATGTCCGTAGACAGGAACTAGGCTCCTTTAAACTCCTCTTATTCTGTTCTTCAACAGTCAGGCACCTCCCTCACAGCTTCTTCATTTGCTGCTGTTGCAACTCACTGCTCAAAGGGCTAGTGCTGCTGGTTGCTTTTGTTCCCTGCTGGAGTGGAGTATAGAAAGCCTTGCTTATGGCTTGCACTTAAATGTCACTTCTGACTGCCATCCTGGAATGTATGTGTGGATAGATGGAAGTGAAATATCTGTACATTTCTCTTTTTTTGTTTTTTAAATGCAATTTTTGGGTGAAATTGCATAGCGTAGATCGCCCTCTGCTGGTAGGAGATTGAAAAAGCAAAAGCCTACAACACCTGGTATTCCCAGGCGGTCTCCCATCCAAGTACTAACCAGGCCCGACCCTGCTTAGCTTCCGAGATCAGACGAGATCGGGCGTGTTCAGGGTGGTATGGCCGTAGGCAGGAACTAGGCTCCTTTAACCTCCTCTTATTCTGTTCTTCAACAGCCAGGCACCTCCCTCACAGCTTCTTCATTTGCTGCTGTTGCAACTCACTGCTCAAAAGGGCTAGTGCTGCTGGTTGCTTTTGTTCACTGCTGGAGTGGAGTATAGAAAGCCTTGCTTATGGCTTGCACTTAAATGTCACTTCTGACTGCCATCCTGGAATGTATGTGTGGATAGATGGAAGTGAAATATCTGTACATTTCTCTTTTTTTGTTTTTTAAATGCAATTTTTGGGTGAAATTGCATAGCGTAGATCGCCCTCTGCTGGTAGGAGATTGAAAAAGCAAAAGCCTGCAACACCTGGTATTCCCAGGCGGTCTCCCATCCAAGTACTAACCAGGCCCGACCCTGCTTAGCTTCCGAGATCAGACGAGATAGGGCGTTTCAGGGTGGTATGGCCGTAGGCAGAATAGGCTCCTTTAACCTCCTCTTATTCTGTTCTTCAACAGCCAGGCACCTTCACAGCTTCTTCATTTGCTGCTGTTGCAACTCACTGCTCAAAAGGGCTAGTGCTGCTGGTTGCTTTTGTTCACTGCTGGAGTGGAGTATAGAAAGCCTTGCTTATGGCTTGCACTTAAATGTCACTTCTGACTGCCATCCTGGAATGTATGTGTGGATAGATGGAAGTGAAATATCTGTACATTTCTCTTTTTTGTTTTTTAAATGCAATTTTTGGGTGAAATTGCATAGCGTAGATCGCCCTCTGCTGGTAGGAGATTGAAAAAGCAAAAGCCTACAACACCTGGTATTCCCAGGCGGTCTCCCATCCAAGTACTAACCAGGCCCGACCCTGCTTAGCTTCCGAGATCAGACGAGATCGGGCGTGTTCAGGTGGTATGGCCATAGGCAGCAACTAGGCTCCTTTAACCTCCTCTTATTCTGTTCTTCAACAGCCAGGCACCTCCCTCACAGCTTCTTCATTTGCTGCTGTTGCAACTCACTGCTCAAAAGGGCTAGTGCTGCTGGTTGCTTTTGTTCACTGCTGGAGTGGAGTATAGAAAGCCTTGCTTATGTCTTGCACTTAAATGTCACTTCTGACTGCCATCCTGGAATGTATGTGTGGATAGATGGAAGTGAAATATCTGTACATTTCTCTTTTTTTGTTTTTTAAATGCAATTTTTAGGGTGAAATTGCATAGCGTAGATCGCCCTCTGCTGGTAGGAGATTGAAAAAGCAAAAGCCTACAACACCTGGTATTCCCAGGCGGTCTCCCATCCAAGTACTAACCAGGCCCGACCCTGCTTAGCTTCCGAGATCAGACGAGATCGGGCGTGTTCAGGGTGGTATGGCCGTAGGCAGGAACTAGGCTCCTTTAACCTCCTCTTATTCTGTTCTTCAACAGCCAGGCACCTCCCTCACAGCTTCTTCATTTGCTGCTGTTGCAACTCACTGCTCAAAAGGGCTAGTGCTGCTGGTTGCTTTTGTTCACTGCTGGAGTGGAGTATAGAAAGCCTTGCTTATGGCTTGCACTTAAATGTCACTTCTGACTGCCATCCTGGAATGTATGTGTGGATAGATGGAAGTGAAATATCTGTACATTTCTCTTTTTTTGTTTTTTAAATGCAATTTTTGGGTGAAATTGCATAGCGTAGATCGCCCTCTGCTGGTAGGAGATTGAAAAAGCAAAAGCCTACAACACCTGGCATTCCCAGGCGGTCTCCCATCCAAGTACTAACCAAGCCCGAACTTGCTTAGATTCCAAGATCAGGCGTGTTCAGGGTGGTATGACCGTAGGCAGGAACTATGTTCCTTTAACCTCCTCTTATTCTGTTCTTCAACAGCCAGGCACCTCCCTCACAGCTTCTTCATTTGCTGCTGTTGCAACTCACTGCTCAAAGGGCTAGTGCTGCTGGTTGCTTTTGTTCACTGCTGGAGTGGAGTATAGAAAGGCTTGCTTATGGCTTGCACTTAAATGTCACTTCTGACTGCCATCCTGGAATGTATGTGCGGATAGATGGAAGTGAAATATCTGTACATTTCTCTTTTTTTGTTTTTTAAATGCAATTTTTGGGTGAAATTGCATAGCGTAGATCGCCCTCTGCTGGTAGGAGATTGAAAAAGCAAAAGCCTACAACACCTGGTATTTCCAGGCGGTCTCCCATCCAAGTACTAACCAGTCCCGACTCTGCTTAGCTTCCGAGATCAGGGTGGTATGGCCATAGTCAGGAACTAAGCTCCTTTAACCTCCTCTTATTCTGTTCTTCAACAGTGAGGCACCTCCCTCACAGCTTCTTCATTTGCTGCTGTTGCAAATCACTGCTGAAAGGGCTAGTGCTGCTGGTTGCTTTTGTTCACTGCTGGA